GGGGGGGGGGGGGGGGGGGGGGGGGGGGGAGGGGAGAGGGGGTTGATACAATGAGGAAACTGTCTCCTGCACTTGCGCATCCTGCCATCTGCACTTCCAGGATTGGCCTGTAAGCTGCAATCTACTTACATGAGGAATAGTAGCAAAGGAGGTGCGTATTGCGTATAGCCACTGAATTATTCGCATTCAAATCAATTGTGATATCGGCAAAAGGTTCGTTGAAACGCATCCGTAGAATCGGCACTTTTGCGATAATCAGTTGCATGCCAGCAACCCATTTCATTCCACCTAGTGCATTCTGGATCATATTTAACACCACCACTGCATCCGTTCGCTGATCAAGCTACAAAAAAAAAGAATTTTCTTGTCATATCTGGGAAGAACGTGAAAGATAATTCTTTTTTCTCCTGGCAAAAAATTCTTTATGTTGGAGACACTTGAAAGTTGAAAGTGTCTCAAATGAAAAGAGTTTGTTGCTGAAAGAGCAGCAGCTACTCACACGCAACGCTGTCGGTGGTTTTTTTCTGTTCTGAACGTTGAATGAGAAGCAAGCTGAGAAGAGCGGCACTCTCTGGAATGCACCAGCACCAATTTACTACTACCGAAACGAATCAACGAACTGTGTGCGGAGGGAAGGGGCTTTTTTTGACATTAATGAACATTTCAAACCAACAGATGGAGTATGCGAATATGCTCAGTAGCATTAACAAAGGCCCGCTTTTACGAACCTTACCGTTCTTTTCAAACACACACACACACATCACAAATATCAAGATCGCCCAGTTACCAGTACTTGCTCTCCCATATTAGTGGTGTTTCTGAGATGTTTCCAAACGCTGAGCGCAGCTATGCCAGGTCTTTCGATCCTAACCTGTATAAAAAGAAGAAAAAAATTGTTTGTTTATTTTACTGACTGAAATTGCTATTTTAATCAGAATTAAATGAAATCGCTTTAAAACTGGGTCAAATTAAATTAGAAATTGAAAGTTTTTAAGTTGATTAAATCAGTTAAAACTAAATTGAATTTTAGAAGTCAGAACTAGTTTATTCTGGAATTAAAACTTTAAAATAGAATTGAAATTAGAAAAATTAAAATTACTTATCTATTTTCCCCTACAACCAGTTGGAAAAATATCTCTCATCAAGTACTGGTAGTAATAACTCTCCGTACAAGGCAGTGCTGTTCAATTCCCACACTAAGGATACTTTGAAATGTCTAAAGCTGTGCTCGATGCTTTTGTTGGGAGAATCACTAAGCTGGTAATTACTTCAGGAGAGAAAACGAACATCAAGACCACCGCAAAAGAACCAAAGACGATGCAGCATTGGTCAAAGCAACAAAAAAGCTGTTGGCTGCACAGCTGAAGAACCAAACTATGATTTACGGCTGTACAAAGAATTCCAAGTATTTTGAATTACACAAAAAAATAAGGCAGTAAAGGAATACCTCCTGATTTGTAATCATTAAACACAGGTCCATATCGGAACTATTTGTGCCAAAACCGTTAAGTGACGAGCCAACCACATAAAGACCACACACTGCAATAAAATTTTGTTCATGCCAAGAGAAAATTTTTTTAAAAATTTCCAATCATGAAAAAGATTTCCGCAGTAAGATAATTACAGGTAAATAAAAAACATTTTAGTGATTCCCCAAAAACAACTACTTCCCGCGGTCGTAAAATCAAAAGTCTTCCTAGTAAGACAACTCATCGTTCCGGACAAGGTGGTGTGCTTAATACACATGCCAAGGACATCTCGAAACGGCTGAAGCCTTGCCAAATACTTCTATCGGAAGAACTGGTTTTTCTAAGCCGGTAACTCGTTTAGGGGAATAAAACGAACACCGAGTTTGCCAAAAACAGACCAACTATCAGAAGTTGCAGTACTGGTCAAATCAGCCGTAAAAGTTGCCAGCTGATCAGGTAGAGACTAAAACTATGAATTACATATCCGCTAAGCTAAATATCACAAATGCATTCACATTCATTCTCTAAACGAGGAAGACACACACATACATATACACATACATACACACATACATACGTACTACATAAACGCATACATACACACATATATACATACCCATACATATATACATACACACGTACATGCACACATACACGCACACCAACAGAAGACTGAAAGCTGGGATATCAGCCAACAGTTCTCTATAGCGAGATTCATCTAAAAAAGAAACCGAATGAGCAGAACACTCCTAATATTTTGGTAAAAAACAAAAATCAACCGATCGAAATCGCCCTTTCCCCCTTCCCCTTTTCCGCAAAAAATTTGGAAATACTAGTTCAGAAATCTCAGGCCTGCTCGAACAAGGGTACAGATACTGCATGTTAGTGATGCTACTTGGATGTTCTTACACACCGGGTGCACTGTACTGGGTCTTTCCATTTTATGTGTAAAAAAAACATCCAAAAAATCGCTGAAAGAAAAAATTTACTGGGAAAGACGGGCGAAATGGCATAGTAGAGAACATCACGAAGGTGCAGTTTACGACTGAGGACAGATTCGCCTTGCGCAATCGATCTATGATAATACCAGATCTCCTCGCTTAGCACATCCAATTTAGACAACTCTAGATTAGCGGATGGTGCAGTCCTTGCAGCGCACGCTTCATCTGCAAAATCAGTAATTAGTTTTACGATTATCACAGTCACCA